TCAAAACTTTGGTTCAGTAACACACCAGGCAAAAAAAAGGCCCTGTTGGTAATTGTGAAAGTTAGGTGGAGCATGGAAGGACATAGGGAGGCAGGGAGAACAGACTGTGAGGGAGGAGTGCAAAATGAGTACAAAGAATTAGGAGAGAAGGCTATGAATATACTGATCCTGTTTGCAAGGTCTTTTTTGTGCCAGTCAGGGTTTTCTGCAGCTGCTTGTATAAAAAGCAAATATTGCTGAAAAGTAAATATGGAATGAGAAGTGAGAGTGGCTATCTCAACAATGAAAAAAATTATGCAGTAATAAGCAAGCTCATCCATCACAATAAGACATGTTTCCAAATTTGATATTTTTTATCTATTTCCAATAAAAAAATAGTTATCTAACGATATTGGCATATTTATTTCTTGCCCAATCCTAATCCCAATAAAATGATTAGCTTTACTAGTGGAGCAGTGAGGGTGGGGGTCACTATGATGGCGTATTGGGGTTTCCCCGACTCCTGCACCCCCAAAATGGCATGAACAGACTATGCCAGCCAGTAGAATAGAGGGTGTTTATTGCTTCTCCAGGATACAGCACAGCACAGATGTAATCTGGTTACAGGGCAGGCCTAGGATGCCTCAGCCCCCCATTGAAATGGGGGAGACTGGGCCCCTAAATTCCAGACCCTTCCCTAGGTTGTCTCCTCCATGATCCCAGACAGAAACTAACTAACTAACTTCCAGCCCTGCTGCCAGCCAGGGCTCCACTCCCCTTCTTCCCATTGTTCTGCTCCCTTGGAGATAACTGGTCAGACAGGTTCTTAGCCCCCCTGCATAATGACTCATCCCCTGCCCTGCTGGGCCCTGCTGCAGCCAGCAGCCAGTCGAGGTCACCCACATCCCACTGCCCAGCATAGCAACCAGCAAGGTACCCCACACTACATCACAGTCATACAACTTCATTTAGCATTTTAGGGGCTCCTGGAATCAAGAAGTTTGAGAACCCCTGCTCTAGATAAAGGCAGCACTTATAGTTAGGCACCTAGCTGAAAGTTTATCATCACCGACTAATAGGGGTCCTGTCAGGAACCCATGGGGACAACCCCAAGAACCCTGACCAGACGACAGTGGTAGTAGGGAACACTGACAGTACGACACGGAATATCGATGAGAATCAGACACTAAGTACCTGGCCCCCAAAGTCAGTAGGAACCCCGCTGAGGGGCCTAGACTCACAGCGGGTCAATTTTGGGGGGGGGCGATTCCCCAATGCGGGTCCCCGCCCTCTTGTGCAGACCCACAACAGCAGCCTCCCATCCTGGACCCCTGTGGCGAGATGCCCCCAGAGAAACACCCCGTGGGAAAGACACGAGTTTCTCCAGGGTCCTGCGCCTAGAGGGCGCCCCGCCCTGTCCCATCCCCGCCTGTTCCCGCAGCCCACAGACCTGGTCACACGGCTCGGGCTGAGAACTTGAACGAGTCTGGCGCGCGGGGCGCGTTACACGTGGGGCGGGAGGAGACGCTGAGCGGTGGGAGCCGGGTCAGTCTCCGGTAGCGCGAAGGATCCGCGTCAGGGCCAAGCGAGAAGACATCCGGGAGCTGCCTGCAGCGCGCGGGGCAGCCCCAGGGGACCCCGGAGCCGCACGATGTTCCAGTTCGTGGCCCTGCAGCTCTGGCTGCTGCTCCCCAGCGCAGGTGAGACAGAAAGCGGCTCGTGGGCCGCGGAAGCTCCCGCGGGAAGGGCGCGGGGGGAAGAGAGGGTTATTCCCTCCCCAGGGGAGTCCCGAGTGGGCGGGAGGGGATACAGGAGCGATTCCGAGCTCCGCGCAGGCTGTGATTTCCGCGGGCGGGGAGGGGGTGAGGGATCCAGCTGCATAGATATTCAAAGTCCCAGCCTCGCGCACAGATTTTCAAAGTCTCTTCCCCTCCCACACAGCTCAGGCACAAGGTGACTCCGTGTCCCAGTGGCCCCCAGAAGTGCGGATCCCCGAGGGGCGAAGTGCGACCTTGCTCTGTAATTTCACCACTAGTGATATAAACCCCAACCTCTTCTGGTACCGCCAGGACCCGAGCCAGCCCCCCCAGCACATCCTGACTAAAACACGGTATGATCCTCCTGAGCAGACGCTGGTCCAAGGAAAATTCTCGGCGTCTTTGGACATGGGGAACAAGACGGTGGCCTTGCGGATTGAGAAGGTGTCGCCCCAGGAGAGCGCCGTGTATTTCTGTGCGCTGAGACCCACAGTGCGGCGTATCCGCAGAGCCGCTCGTACAAAAACTCAGCGCGGGGCTGTGTGTGGAAATGTACTCGAGGCAAAAACACAGGGCTGCGGGGGGCGTGGCACAGGAGATCGCCTAGACCAGCCCATGTGCTCAGACAGGACCAAGCGTGAGGGGATCAACCAGGAGAGAGGTTCATCTCCTACTGTCTGAAAATAAACTTTTTTTCTACCTCATATTCTGTTAATGAACAGTTTCGTGTCTGCGTTTCGCCCTCCTGTACATTCCTGATTTCTTTTTATAATTCAGGAACATTCTCTGAACGGCCAAACTGGATCTCATTGAGGAGCCTTTGGCCATTATCTTTGAAAAGTCATGGAGATCTGGAGAAATCCCGGATGATTGGAAAAGGGCAAATGTAGTGCCCATCTTCAGAAAAGGATGATCCAGGGAACTATAGGCCCATCAGTCTTACCTCGATTCCTGGAAAAATCATGGAAGGGATCCTTAAGGAATCCATTTTGAGGCACTTGGAAGAGAGGTAAGTGATTAGGAATAGTCGGCATGGATTCAAAAAAGGGCAAGTCATACCTGACCAATCTGATTAGCTTCTATGATGAGGTAACTGGCTCTGTGGACATGGGAAAGTCAGTGGATGTGATAGACCTTGACTTTAGCAAGGCTTTTGATACCATCTCCCACAATATTCTTGCCAGCAAGTTAAGGGAATGTGGATTGGATAAATGGACAGTAAGATGGATAGAAAGATGGCTAGAAGGCCGGGCCCAGCAGGTAGTGTTCAACAGCTCGATGTCAGGATGGCGGTCGGTTTCTAGCGGAGTCCCCAAGGTTCGATTCTAGGACGGGTTTTGTTCAATATCTTTATTAATGATCATGATCTGGATGAGGGAATTGATTGCACCTTCAGGAGATTGGCAGATGATTCTAAGCTAGGGGGAGAGGTAGATACGTCTGAGGGCAGAGAGAGGCTGTTCTCAGTAGGAACAGATGGCAGAACAAGGATCAGTGGTCTCAAGTTATGGTGGGAGAGGTCCAGGTTGGATATTAGGAAAAACTATTTCACTAGGAGGATAGTGAAGCACTGGAATGGGTTACCTAGGGAAGTAGTGGAGTCTCCATCCCTAGAGGTGTTTAAGTCTCGGCTTGACAAGGCCCTGGCAGGGTTGATTTAGTTGGGATTGGTCCTGCCTAGCGCCAGGGCTGGACTTGATGCCCTTCTAAGGTCTCTTCCAGCTCTGTGAGTCTATGATCCTATGAATGTGGCCAATGCCAGGTGCTCCAGAGGGAGAGATCACTCCACTGTCATCCATTTCCAGAGGAACAGAGTCTAGGGGCAGCATTCCTACCCATTCTCACTAATAGCCAATGATGGACCTAATATCCATGAATTTATCCAGCTATTTTTAACCCTTTTTGAAACACTCGCTTTCACCACAGCCTCTGGCAGGGAGTTCCACAGGTTGACAGTGCTGGATTCAAATGTTCTTGTAGCTGAGACCTGTGAGCCCCAAGAGACACGTGAATACAACGTTTAATACTGTGTCATTACCGCCATTTCTGAAAGAAGGGCTCTTGACGCTCCCTCCCAGTTTTGTGAAAAGTCAGAACACGACTGACCATTGCAGAGAAGAGAACGTGGCAATCAAAGTGTGAAAGTGAAATTAACATTAAATCGCTGCAGCCAGAAGCATGCACTTCAAGTCGGAAGGGGGACCATGTATAACACGGACGAGAGACGGTCCACGGGGGCCCAACTTCCGGCCCCTGCTTCGTGGCTGCTCTAGACCAACGTGAGAAATTGCCTTGAAAAACAAGACTTTGTGGTCTCCAAAAGATTTGCGAAATGGCTTTTGTTGCGTGTCGTATTTTGTTGTCCTGCTTCAGACAGCCGCCCGGGGGCGCCCCTGGCTCACACCGAAGGGACGTTTGGCTTGCCAGCCGAATCCTTTTCTTTCTGTAACACTTTCCGACGAGCCAAAACTGGCTGGCAGACTTTCTCTGGGGGTTTGAGCGTCATTGGACTAGCAGGGAGACGAGGACGCGGTCGCAGAGAGGGAACATCGACCCTTCGCAGCCGGAATTTGGGTTTAAGAAAAAACTAATTGCAGGAAGGGCTCACGGGGGGCGGGGAGTTGAGGAAGATCACTCTCTGAGGCAAGATGCTTTACTGCTTGGCTCTACAGCTCTGCCTTCTGCTGGTCTCCTCAGGTGAGGAACGGTACCTGGGTTGCCTTGAGTTGACTCGTTACTTAAAAGCTACAGAATCCCTGTTACTACGGGGCAGTATTTCAAAAGACCCGCAGTGAGTCGGGCCCTCAGCTTCCTTGGGGCCACACAGGCCTTGTTCAGAACAGGGAATATTTTAATCAAACCAAAGAAGGATTTGTGCTGAAACAAAGGGGTTTGTTTCCTCTTGAGAATCAAAGCTTCGTTAGCAACGGTACCTCAGCGGTGCCTAGAGTGGAAGGGGAAGAGAAAGTTTTTAAAATGGTTTCTATTCCCTTCACAGGCGTTGTTCGCGCGGATTCTGTCTCTCAGTCTCCCCGGGAGGTGACAGTCTCGGAGGGACACGATGCGCTATTACAGTGTTATTTCAACACCACATTCAGCAGCCCGTACCGAATCAGGAGCCCCAGCACGTCCTGACCGCGTACAAATCCGCTGCCGCGCGGAACACGTTCGCCGACGGGCGATTCTCCGCGGTGCTGTTCGACCAGAACCGGACGGTTCCCCTGCGGGTGGCGGCCGCGTCGCTCCCGGACGGGGCGGTGTATCTCTGCGCCCTGAGCCCCACAGCGGGCGGAGCCGCATCCCCGGCGCTACAAGAAGGGAGAGAGGGCGGAAGGCTGGTGGGGGGGAGGCTGTTTCTCTACCCGCCTATTCTCTGTAAAGAACCCCTCTGCGGGCGGGGGTGCGGGTGAGGGGCTCTGGGAGGAGGGGACCGTGGAGATAGCTCAGTCGGGAAACCTCCTTCCTCGTGTTAGAAGTTCTACCGGCCCCTTCCCCGGCAGGGCGAGGAACGTTTCAGGGGAGAT